GTACAATTGCTCACCACCTGCTGATAACAACACTGAAGGAGTGAAAAGGAATCCTGAAACCAAAATCACAATCCCGAAAAAAGTGAGTCTGAGTGATTCCCGAGAGAATCCCCCCCTTTCCAGTCAGCCCTGGTTAATATACTGAACATGACGTAATATGATATGGAATATCTTATTGGCATCTCCAACTGTCAATTCTGGGTTTTACTAACTACTGCACTTTTCTTCTCCACTCCCCGCTTCCAGTCCTCTCTTCTTGGAAACTGCCCAAGCACAGTGTCCTTGTAGTTATCAACATTGTTCTCATAACAGTCCCCACTGAAACCAAAACACCGGGCTTTCTAGCTACTAAGAAGGAAATTAACCCTGTCCTAGCAAAACCCAGGACAAGTGGTTTTTATCTTTTTGTGAGTTGGGCTAACAAATTATAATATTACTCCTTACAGAATTTGATCTATTGAATGCTACTAAGTTTGAAATGTTATAGTATATAATATTGGAAGGTTTACATTGCTGATCTCATGCTCGCAGTGTGAACATACTACTACTACTTGGGTAGAGCTCTGAACAGACTAGGAACTTCCACTGTTGGCATTCAGTTCTGTAATCTGTGCAGGTTTCAGAATTCAGTTTTTTGATGCAGATTTCTAAACACATTTTGAGAAATAAAGAAAGGACAAACAATAGAGACCTTTGCCTAGAGCTACTGAGGCAGGTTTTTGCAAACCCATTTCTGCTGAACACAGCTTTTGTGGTTGCAGGACAAGTTCTGATACAAATGTTGAAGAGCTTCCTCCAGTTTATGACAAAGGTAAGAGGAAGAATGCTTCCTCTTGGCTTGTATCTTAGCACTATTTTTACCCAGTATTTAGTATCATATCCATACGGGAGCTTCACCAAAGTTGAAGATGGCAAAGGGAAGTGCTGAAAAGGATAATTTCTTGAGAGGGAAAAATTTAAACCTTAAGCTATTGCCCTTCCTTCAATCTCTTTGGATCACTTTAATTTACGCATCCTGCAAGTGAGGTACTGAGAGAAGGGATCAGAATTTGAGGTTTCCCTCTCTTAGGTGTATCCTCAGTATAAATCTTACATTCCTTGCTGAGTGTTGAAGAGCTTTGACTGCTGGGATGGAAAATGCCATGGATGGGCTAAAAGCAGAACTGGAGCAGGATTGCTCTTCTGGGAAACTTCTAACTTAAGTCCTCCTCAGACTGGGGAAAGCCTGGAGCCCAAATCTACTTTTCTGAGGGGAAGAAGATCTAGTCACTGGTATGTGTCAAAGAAAACCCCTTGGACAAATGGATGGATTGCCTGACTCAGCTGAAGTGGGGATGTCTAAGGGTGTATATGGTAGCAGAAGAAGTTCAACTATCTGAATATGTTCTGTGGTGAAAGCCACCGCTCTGATGCTTACTGAAGCCATTAAGTAGTTAATCGGTGTCAAGACAATAATCCTCAAAAAACTTTCAGTGTTCCTCTAACAGTTCAAGTAGAAGCACTTTTGGTTTAAAAGTCTGGGTAGACTTGCTTTCTGGAGTCTGATGTGAAACTGTATTGTCCTATTTGTGAAAGTGATGCAATTTCTTAGCTGCAGCCAAAGTTTCTTTTATCCTGTTTTGTGTTTATAAATGCATGTTCAAATGGTACATTCTGTACGTGCACAAAGGGAAAATCTGTGGGTGATATTAGACTAGATATTAAAAATCAGTGAGTACTTTTGAGTTTAGTGTGTCTTGCTTCCTTTAAAACAGGAGTAGGAAAAAAATAAAATTAGGAGTAAATTAATACTTTTTTCAAACAACGCCATTATTATTTCTGAAGCATTCAGGTGCTAGAAGTATTGTACATCTATGCTATTAATTAGTAGATGTATTCATATACAATATAGTGATGCATACTCTAGAAAAATTAAGAAAATCAGTTTTGATCTCAACAAGGTCTTTGAATCAGGTTCAGTAACTACATGTTGCACGTTGAACTGCAGGATAAAAAATAAAGATACTTCATTAAATGAACTGATTGAGATTAATCTGTACAAGTAAAGTTTAACAGAGTAATTATACATAGGACATAACTTTTAACATTAAGTTTTTATATTTGGCATTGGTCATTCTCTCAGATGCTCCCTTTCTTCTTTAATTGAATCTATCCTTCACTGAGACTCAGTTTGTATGTCATCTAAACTTCACAGCACCTTTTTTTCAGATGATGGAGCTAATTTTGGATGGGCTGATGACCTGCTAGTGGTTCAGGCCCTAGTTTTTAAGGGGAGATTCTTCAGACTGGCTTTAGTCTGTGGACTGAATGCTTTTTAGTGGTGGGAGTTCATCAGGTGTGTCCTTTGAACTGTGTCTTCTGGTTTAATTTCAACTAAACAGTCTAGTTCTTTAACTGATCTGAAGTGTGAACCAAGCAGTAATTTTTCTGATCATCCTTACTTAACACTTCAAAGGCACAATCTTGATCCACATTGACGTTAAGGTAGCTGTGTCTCTGAACAGTAAGCTTGGTGCGCTTTTTTTACCAAGAGATGATGATGTCACATGTTATCTAATTTTTGTGTCTACCTAGAACCACAGTAAGTGCTTGGCTTAATGGCTGAGGCTGGATTTTGTGGTTGTAGCCTTAGAAAAAAGGAACCCCATTCTCGTCTTTTGTCCATCTCTTTATTCTTGTGAGGGAAAGCAGTCCTTTGAAAATGTTAGAGAAAAGTGTCATAGACTATTTCTAGGATAGTTTTTTCAGGGTTAACTGTAAGACTTTCTTGTATTTATTATGGCAACTTTATACCTTTGGAATTTATTTGATTTATACCTAGATTGTTAGATAAAATATAGATACAGTTGAGGTTGTGAACACTGTTTCTGGTGTTACATACTTAGGAATCTTTTGATTTTATATAGTAGTTATGAATTTCCAGCTGTTAACTATCTGAATATAAAAAGCATTTTAAAAAGACACCTTCCTGTGTGTTCCATTCTCTTCAAAATTGACTGTTTGTTCCTTATAACCTACGTGAATTTATTCTATATGACCCTTTTTCTGAAGAAGCCTTCTGGTGCTACAAGTTGATAAAGGAAGCGGGAGAAACTTGGTTTATTGGTTTTTGCAAGAGATGTGATCTGTGTCAGTAGCGAGATGATTGAGAAATGCACAAACAATACAGTGTAAACATAAAAATACTGTTAGGAAAGCTGCAGTTGCCTACTGCTTTTTTCTCCTGTCAAAACCTATTGCAATATAAAGTAAAAATGTAAAATTCACTGTCCTTCTGAATAATCTTTTAACTTCTGTAGCATGTCAGCCAGTTGCAGGTGTGTTTGTCAGTAGAGTGTTTTTCTTTTGGGGGAAAAAAAACCCCACAACAAACTTTTGCTACCTTAGAAAAAGGCTACTTTATCAATCCTTTAAAGAAACGTGAAGATCCAGGGAACTACAGGCCGGTCAGTCTCACCTCTGTGCCTGGCAAGATCATGGAGCAGATACTGCTAGAAACTAAAATATTAAGGCACAAGGGAAGTGAGGAGGTGACTGGTGATGGCCAACATGGCTTCACCAAGTGCAAATCATGCCTGACTAATTTGGTGGTCTTCTATGGTGGGATTACAGTGTTGGTGGGTAAGGGAAGAGCAACTGAGGTCATCTGTCTGGACTTGTGCAAGGCATTTGACACTGTCCTGCATGATATCCCTGTCTCAAAGTTGGAGAGACATGGACAGATGGACCACTCGGTGGATAAGGAACTGGCTGAATGGTCACACTCAAAGAGTTGTGGTCAACGGCTCAATATCCAAGTGGAGACCAGTGATGAGTGATGTCCCTAAGGGGTTGGTACTGGGACCAGTGCTGTTTAACATCTATGTCAGCGATGTGGACAGTGGGATTGAGTGCACCCTCAGCAAGTTTGCCGACAGCACCAAGCTGTGTGGTTTGGTCAACATGCTGGAGGGACGGGACACCATCCAGAGGGACCTTGACAGGCTTGGGAGGTGGCCTGTGCTAACCTCATGAAGGTAACAAGGCCAAGTGCAAGGTCCTGCTCCTGGGTCGGGGAAACCTCAAGCACAAAGACAAGCTGGGTGGAGAATGGATCAAGATCAGCTGTGAGGAGAAGGACTTGGGAGTAGTGGTGGACGAGAAGCTGGAACTAGATGATCTTTAAGATCCCTTCCAACCCATACCATTATATGATTCTGTGATTTTAAAATTACTCCTTGACATTCTCTGTGATGTTTTGTAGATCATCTTCTTTTGAACAGTGAAACAGTGTGTCTGTGATTGATGAATATTTTGTAATGATGAATAATACTAGTAATTTTAAAAGGTAATTATTTTAATTTTGAAAGTTTCATTGCAATTGATTAAATAACTATCGCTTCTTTCTTTTCAGGATATATTTATGTTCATAACAAGGCAACTTAAGGGTTTAGAAGATACAAAAAGCCCCCAGTTTAATCGATATTTTTATTTGCTTGAGGTAAGCTTCATAACTTCTTAATAACTGTTAAATGTAATTTTTCAACTTAATCTTGTATTAACCACTCCTTTTATTTTTTTCCTGTCCAACACAGAACATTGCTTGGGTCAAGTCTTATAACATATGCTTTGAATTAGAAGACAGCAATGAGATTTTTACACAGTTGTACAGAACACTGTTTTCAGTAATAAAGTAAGTATTGTCACCCCCAATTATAATATTTTATTGCATGGTTGAGGCCGGATGTTCTAGCGTAGATATTCAGTCTATTGTGTGACTTTTAGTGTTAATGACTTTAGTTTTGTAATTCAGTTTAACTACAGGTAGCAGTATAAATGTAACAAGCTGTCAGTTTTACCTGTTTTAATTAAGACACACTGCAAATAATTTTTTTTTTTTTTAGAAACTTACTTTGATTGTCTTTTACTGTGTTTATTTTATTCTCTTCTTGAAATTGAAAGCAAATGGTGCAATAGGCAATTCTAAGGAATTTGGAGGATTATTGCTATAGAAATGGGAGTCAGAAAATAGTGGACACCGCAAGGTACTGCTAGAGATCATCTAGCCTGCTCCTCTTGCTCAAACCAGGGTCAGCTAGAGCAGATTGGCCAGGACTGTAGCCAGTTGGGTTTTGAGCACCTCCAAGGATGGAGACTCCATGGCCTCTCTGGGTAACTGTCTAGTGCTTGATCACCCTTACATTGAAAAAGTTACTCTTTTTTTATGTTTAAATGGTATGTCCTGTATTTCACCTGTGCCTATCACCTCTTGTCCTGTCACTGGACACCACTGAGAAGAGTTTGACCCTGTCTTATTTACTTCCAACATCAGGTATTTAAACGTAATGATAAGTTCCTACCTAAGCCGTCTCTCCTTGAGGCCAGAAAAATGATGTCAACTCTCTCAGCCTCTCCTTGTATGAGAAGTGCTCCAGTGCCCTAATCATCTTTGTGGCCCTTTGCTGGACTGACTCTGGGTTATCCATGTCTCTCTCATGCTGGGAGGCCCAGAACTGGACACGGCACCCAGATGAAATCTCTCCAGTGTTGAGTAGAGGGGAGGGATGTTCTAATACACTGTCTTTTCATAGGGTAGGGACAGATACAATCCTCTTGCTCTCTTACTACAGTAGTAAATGAAGAAGACATGAGATTCAAGAGTGGTTTGCGCAGCCGAGAAACTTAAGTGTTTTGACTTCTGAGAAAACTTGTGATTTAATTATTATATTCCTTGTTGTTTTACATCACCATAGGGAGTACTTTGAATGAAAGTTGTACTTTATATGAACAATATACTAAGAATTCTTGTTTTTAATTTCAGCAATGGTCATAACCAAAAAGTACACATGCACATGGTTGATTTAATGAGCTCTATCATTTGTGAGGGAGATACTGTGTCACAGGAACTTTTGGATACAGTGTTAGTTAATCTAGTGCCAGCACATAAGGTAAGACTTCATAGTGGCTTAACTTTTTTTTTTTTTTTTTGTAATAGTGATTTGTTGGATGTATGGGTTCAGATATATAGATTTCATTGAGAGAACTGCTGTAGCAAATGTGTTGGATTTTTTTATAGCAAATAAATCGGTATTAGTAGCTAGAAAATTCAGTAGCGTTTCACTGCTTTGATTCACTTGTGATAAACCAAAGTATCAGTGGTTATAGTAATCTAAAACTTTAATGTCATATGGATTTATACACTTTTTTATGTACAGTAAGTAGCATTAAATATATAAATAATAGCATAATATATATAGCTAAATATAGCATAATATAAATGATACATGTGTCCTTTGTAAAGTTTTTAATTAAACACTTTTTTATGTACAGTAAGTAGCATTAAAACATAATATAAATGATACATATGTCCTTTGTAAAGTTTTTAATTAGGGTAATGCTGTATCAACAGTTCAAATTAAACTACTGCCCTAAGTGATAGGGAAAAAGTTATGACTCCTGATTTGTAGTTGGCTCTATTGTGTTTCAGAAATGTTGACTTGGTGTTATTGTAAGCACATCTGTGTTTTTGATGCAGTCATAGAACTATGTTCAAAAATAGTGGTGCCTGGAGAGCCCATGTGATGGATGTCTTAATGATAAAGTTTTGTCAAAAAAAAAAAAGTCTCCTACAGGCGAACTGAGGAAAAACTTCAAACTTTGCATGTGTTGTGACACTTGAATGTTTAAAAAGCAAGGAAGTCTGACTTCTTTGTTCAGAAACTAGCTGGAGCCTTCTGTAATATCTTGAGCTACAGTGTAGAAGACAACTTACAAGTTGTATTTGCCAAAAAATGTTCTGGGAAATTATCTCGGAAATGGGTATTTAGCTGGATTTTGGACAGTTCTGGCTGTCATCTGACAGCTTTAATTTTATTTATTGATTAAAAAACATGTTCAGGAAACAACTAACTTTACTTGTGGTTTTTAGAAACTACATTAAGGTTAAGTGGGTATTAACTTAGATTTTTGCAGAAACCGAGTAGACTTTTCATAAGGTGCTCTCTGAAGAATATAGCAAGTAACACAACATAGTGTGCCATACCACAAGCCATCAGTTTCAGGAAATAAACAGCACATAAATTATTTTCCTTATTTTCCTATTGACAGTAAAATACTAAGTGCTTAGTATTTTAAGTAGTAAAATACTTAATGCTTAGCATTTTAATCATTTTTTTTCTCTGGAAATGTTTTAGCTTTATCCTTCAAGGGGTCTGGTACTTTTGTACCCGGACCAGACTGAAATTCATGCAGCTAAAACTCAGATTTATGAAGTAAAGCCTTGGAACACAAGAAACAAATGCAAGACTGTGCAAAATACTTTAGTTTGTATTTTCTTAGTTGTTAAGCATCTGTTGTTTCATTACATCACCTGTATTCAACTTGATTTGGCTGTACTGTTTTTATGAGTTAAATAAACTGATTCTGAGTTGAAGAATTTGCATCCTGTTAGATAAACTATAGCATCGAAAAAATTCTGTTTTATAGTGGATTTAAAATTACTGAACATTTTAATAGGATAAAGTATTTGTGGTTTTGCATTTTCTTCTGCTTATGTTTTAATCAAAGTGGCTCTTTGGATAGGATGCTAGTTTATAATTTGCTTTCTAACTGAAATAGTTTCATGACTTTAGACCGTATTCTGCGTACTTTTACCTTTGTTTTAATTTTTTTTAACCTTTCTCATACTGGTGGAAAGAAGCTTCTAGTATTTTTCTATTTCATTTCAATATTTTCATATAGCATTCATTTAAAATTGTGGAGCTTATGTAGTCATCTGTCCACTTACCGTGGCTACTAATATCATGTCGGAAAAGTGTAAGGAATTTGGAGTGACAATTTTTCCACTCGTGTCCATTAGGCACAAATCTACAAGTTGTGTTAAGGATAAGGTCCATCATAAAGAAGAGCTATGTCTTAGCTGGTCTAGCCATTAAGCTGTACAGGCTGTGAGAAAGGGAAATTGAAAAATCAGACTGGCCACCAAAAATGGCATAATGGCAAGTGTTGGTGCAGTGGTGAGTAGAGAATCCTTTTCTAGCCAGGTTCCCTGGGGAACAAAAGAATATTTTTGATGGAGTAAAAGGAGCATGGATCTGTTACTAGCTCAGGTTTGAAAATGATCAGGTTGAGAGATTGTTGTAGACAGGACAGCTATGTTTGTAGCAAGTGACACAGACTAGCGGTGTATTTTTAATATAGCCAGAATGAAGGTTGTGCATGTGAGGGAATGTGAAGTGCCCTTGTAAATTAAAAGACTGTATTCTAGAAAATAGTGATAGAGCTAGTATGACTTTTGGTGTACCAACACTAGGTTGAAGACTTGAGGAGCTTAATCTGTATAATTTATCAAAGGAGCAATCTGTGTGTTGGGTACAGAAGCTGTTCAAACAGCTCCTTTAGTTTTGGATCCTGGATGCTAAGGTCCAATGCCTGAAATTCAACATTAGACAGATCGATGTGAAAATTAAATGAATATTTAAGAGTTGTTGTAACTAGATTAGCAATTTACTAAAGCTTAATTCAATATTGTTACCTCTTAAAACTGAGGTAATTATTTTTCTGAAGAGGGATGCCAGATATGGTCCATATCCTGAGTAGTTAGTCTTAATAAGTAATGGTGCTAGCAGGACAGCTGCAAAAACTCAGGCATAGGAGCATATACTGGGGACATGATGTACTAGTGAATGTCTGGCTACCATAATTAGTAGTCACTGAAGTAATCTAAGCTGCTCTAGCTCACTTGAGTTTGTCATCCATTGCACTTGGCCAGAATAAAAGCATATTAATGTAAACCTGAGTGAAGGTGGCTGAGAGGAATATCACAGAACAGGTACACAGAGTATGCGCAGGCTTGCTTGAGTAGTACAGCAGGTATCAGATAAGTCAATAAAACAGTAAACTTAACTTGTTTGACGAGGTACTCAACTCTTTAATTTCATTTTTTTTTTCCTTCTATGATTTCTCTTTTCTGCTTTCCTATGAACTGTGCTGAAATTCTTTTGATAAAATTATATTAAGAGGGAATTAAATAAACCGTGAACTAAACCCAGAAAAGACCAGAAGGAAGGGAGAGGTAGTCAATATGAAAAAGCAAGAAAAATTAATAGTTTTCCTTTCCCTTTTAATTGTCTTTTTAGATTATAAAGCCTTTATGGCAGCACCTGTAAGCAATTTTGTGTTTGTGCAGTGTGTTAGAAGGCAAATTGTACTTTATTTCCTTGACTGTTTGCCAAAGTGTTCCATTTTCAGCCTCAGGAGTACTACTGGGAATCCCACATTGCACATCCCACATGCTTTACATGCTTGTCTTTTGAAAAAGTGATATTGACAATTAAATTCCTAACTGTCTCCACAAGGAACTTGCTTAATAATTAGTGTTATCTATCTTGGCAACACTTCAGCTGAGCTTTTTCTTTGTCAGCCATCCTTTAAAACCTGTTTCACTTCCCCAGCAGAATTAGAGAATCTGTTAGAACTGTTCTGTCAAGTGCTCTCACATACAAGTTCTGCTGCTGTGCCATTGATAGTAAGAATAAAATTGAAGCCCCTTTTCAAGTTCCAAGGAAATAGTATGTTAAAATGCATGGTTTTTAAGAATATTTGCTCTAGATACAAACTTAACATTTGATTTTACTCCTAAAGTTATAAAATTAAGGACTGGATTGATGCTAACTAGTTGTCCTTTTTCAAGAAAAAACAAGGGAAATTACTTTGCTCTCTCTTGTCTTTTTTTTTTTTTTTCTTTTAACGGATGAGTACAAATTATTTCACTTTTAATTTTTTTGAACTATGTTAAATTGGACATTGAGAGGCAACTGGAAAAAGTATCTGAAAAAAATCAGTGGGTAATGCATTTCCATCACAACCAAGTCCGTTGTATCAGTACAACTGATTTTTGGTTCTGTGGCACACTGTCTTGGAGAGCGTTGTCTACATATACACAGAGATGTCTGTGCCAGGCTTTCGGAGAGATTGGCACTGCTTCTTGTGTCTGCAGTAGAAGTGTCAAACATTCTGGAGAAGAACAGATATGAAAAATGAGTTGGCAAAACTCTTAATGTCTTTCAGAAGTATAAAAAGCTTGAAATGCTACAATGCTAGCAATATATCCACAAAAATCGTTGGCAAAACTCTTAATGTCTTTCAGAAGTATTACAATGCTAGCAATATATCCACAAAAATCAGGGTAGGAATTGAGACAAAGGAGAGTGTTTGCGGTTGACCAAGATTGTCTTCAAATATTGTTGCTGAAGGCCTTCTAATCATTAAAAAAAAAGAAAAAAAAAAAGAAGAAAAAACCCCAGTTATCCTCTGCTTATTAACATTATTTTCTGAAGGAAATCTGGAGGTTTTCAAGGGGGAAAAGGTCTGTCTGTGGAAAAAAAAAAAAAAAAAGAAGAAAAAAACCCAGTTATCCTCTGCTTATTAACATTCTTTTCTGAAGGAAATCTGGAGGTTTTCAAGGTCTGTCTGTGACATCCTGTAAGTCTGTTTTAGATATTAAATGTAACTTCTTGATTATTTTGTAGAAGATCTGTGTTGTGCCTTTTTATGGGTGGTTCTTTGGTTTGTCCTTATCAATCAATACTCATTTCTGCTTTTGCCTTCAAAATGTAGTAATTACTAATGATTACTTTAAACTGTGTTGCCAGCTGTTTCTACCTAATTCAGGACTCTCAAAAGCTTACACCCGCTGGGTGCTTACATGCTCTTAGAGGCATCCTGATTGAGATTATTGTCCCCATCATGATTGCTTTCTTAAATCTTGATTTGATCTTGAAGATCTTGAATTACATGTCATTTTTTTTCCTAAATGTGTAGAAAGATTGAAGAGAGGATAATGACAGAAGAGTTCAGAAAAACACAGAGAAGAAATTTGTTAAATTATGTCTTAACCCTTATAAAATTTTCCTTCAGGCAAAGTTTAAAGTATCTTTGTGGCAACTAAATTAGTCAGAAAGATAGGTTTGATGTTTTGTAAAAGATCTTTGAACCTATTTGGCAATGGCCTGGGTTGCTCCTGTTTTAATTTCAACTAAGACAGTGCCGCTTTTTCTTGTTTCTGCTTTTATCCTGGAAGAGGGAGAAGAAAACTTTCTTGTGTGCTTTTAAGACTCCTTTGGCATTGTTATTTTCAGGAAGTTCATCCTCTGGACATTTGAGGGCTCTGGTTATAGGCACAAATTAAATCAAGTGCATGAGGCATGAAAAAAAAAGCTAATTTTCCTTAGCCAGTTGTTATCTAGACTATTTTTTCTCTTTGCAGCTTTTTCAGGTAGAATGAAGTGTAATGCGAATACGTTACTCAGAATTGCGAATAGTTACTCTCAGCGTTTGTCTTGAGAAACATTAAGGTGTTGGGAGATATTTCGCTTGGCCTTTAGTGGCTTAATTATGAGGGATCGCTGTTCTTTCAGCCTTCCTTTCCTAAGGCTACGTGCGAGAATTTATTTCTAATATTTTACCTGTAGTTATTATTAGTTGTGTAGATGAATTATGGCAGCTTTTTTAAAAAATGAACTGCTGTGTGAAAGGTACAAGCTGAAACTAATTAATGTGAATCAAAACAGATCTGCCTGTTGGAACTCTGCTGTGCTGTTTGGACTTGGTTTATACGTCAATCAGATCTTGCTCATGATCTAGAGTTCGCTCTTACCCACGTGAAAGGTGGTTTCTTTGTTTTGGTGGAGGTGAACTGTGGAAGTCAGGAAGCATCAGAGTAAGAATTGCAAATGGCATACATTCCTTGTTATGGTTATTTGTGTCTTTTACTTCCTGAACAGTCACAACTCTAGCTAAATAACAGAAAACAAATGCTACAGGTGGAAAAGCTTGGGGTTTTGGTGGTGGTGGTGGTGTATTAACCATAAATGCAGAACCTTCCCTTTTCTGGGACGCGGAACTGCTGTACAGTTTTGTATAAAGACTGCAAATGTTCACCCTTGTATCTTGATTAGATAAGGGAAGAGGAAATTATAACGATGTTATCGTCTTTTGTAAGCATTCGAGTATCTTTTCAGAATTGGGATTTTTATTCACCTTCTGTAGTGGTTCTGGGTAAAACGTACTTCAGGCCTGAATCCCCATAGTCTTTTGACTTCAGTCACCTATCTTAATTCTATCAATAGGCAAGTCAAAGACTTCTTTTGTTTTACATTAACAGAAAATGTTAATCTCTTCCCACTACTGTCTAGAAACCTGTAGTTTTACAGTTTTTGAAATTACAGACAATATTCTCCATCTCTTAGCAGTTCTTCTCCTTTTCATTCAGATAGCTACAAAGAACCAAGCATATGCAGGCAAAGAAATACCCTGGGTGTGGCAATGCATTGTGTGTTTGCTTTTCATTATTTTAAAAGGAAGTTTTTTCCTTTTGTGGATGAGATTTATTTAAAAAAAAACAAAACAAAAAGCCACAACCACAACCAAGTACAAACTGCCCCTTTATACTGTTGTCTTGTAGATGGAATATGCTGGGTATTTTTGAATTGCAAAGGCTAATGAAAGTTGGGGGAACTATACTTTTACACAGACTTTACCTATTAAAAGACTATATTTTTGGGTGTTGAAGACTTTTCCTTCGTTCTACATGTTAACCAAGTCTGCAGTGGGTGTTACAAGGGCTGATTTGCATTTTCTTCTGAAAATTTTTGAAAAATAATTGTGATATAGAAATTGGAGAAAGGACACAGCAACTAGAGGTTGGAGAATGCATGCTGGGAAAGGAAGGAGACAGTGATAGAGCAATAATGTAACTCGACAAATGGGGGGATAGGAATGTTGTAGGTGGTGATTTTTTTATTATATTTTATATTAGAGTTTTGTTAGTTTGTATTCTTCACCCGTTTTTGCTCATGGACTAAAATTCTAGGGTGTTTGTTTGGTTTTTTGTTTGTTTGTGGGAGTTTTTGGGGGGTTTTTTTTGGTGGGTTTTTTTGCTATCTCAGTGAGAGCATCTTTAGGAGCTGCTTTGGAGAGGCTGTGATGGTGGTTCACAGGTGGCTACTTGATGCAAGGACAGAATTGTACTATCTCCCACAGTCCTGTTCAGAGTCTTGCTTCTGTGGTGACTGCAAATGCCTTGAGGTTGCTTTGTATCACTTTCCTGGCTTTTTTGGGAAGCTATTAAGGAGCAGCAGTAAAATGCAGGAACTGACTTCACTGAGTGTCAGGCTTAGATGGGCAACTGAAAAGTAGGCCGATTTGCTAGGAAAGAGTTTTCTCATTGAGATCAGCGGAGACTACAAAGCTCTCTTTGGACTAGGTTTGTTTTTACTGTATTATCTTTACTACTGAAAGTGTAAAAAGAATAGTACTTCTGTAATGCATTTACCAGTATGTGGTAGCTTTAAATTCTTGTATTTCTTTTGAAGATTAATGCATGTGCTTAAATATTTTCTGTTTATTTTTTCGCACAGAATTTAAACAAGCAAGCCTATGATTTGGCAAAGGCTTTACTAAAGAGGACAGCGCAAGCAATTGAACCATACATCACTAATGTAAGTGAAGATTACGTACAAATATGGAAATCAATACATTTTTAAACTGAGCTGTATTATAAAAATAGTGAATTGCATATAGTCAAATAGGGCTGTAAAATAACTGTTTACAAACTCAATTGTTCTTTGAGAGAATTGTAGTATTAATGAAGCTCTTCAGAATCTGTTCCTTTGAGTTGAATTCTTTACCATAGAGACACTACTAAGCCCGTAAGATTTTTGCTTTCTGAAATGCAGTGGATTGTTTTCTTTCTACTGTCTTGGGAGACCTTGCACTTCAATCCTTAATGTGACTGGAAAACCAAAAGTACTTATTTGTACTGTTCTGATACAAATGTATAAACACATTGTTCCTGTGGCAAAATTCTTTCTCTAGTCAGGAGATGAGACTAGTTAGAAGCTAGGAGAAATGAAGATAGAGCAGAACCTTAATGCTGTTGTCACAGGAAACGAAGATGAAACAGAATCTAAAAATAGATAGTAAGGAAGAAAACCAGCGAGTGGATTGAGGATTGTAGCCAAGTTGAGTGTAGACATCATAGACATTTCGAGAGAAGAGGGATGAGAGGAAGTAAAGAACAGACGGCAGTATGCTCTAAATTGAGTTGCACAATAGGAAAAAAAAATTACACTTCTTTTTTTAAAGTAGTTAAGGGTTTAGCAGGTCTCACGGCAGCTCTCCAAAACCTCAGGAGCTTGAAAACAATAGAAAATTTTCAGTGGTTTTTGTTGCTTTCAAACTTGTAACGCTTGTGATTTTTGGAGAGTGGGTACCTTCTAGATTAAAAAAAAAATCTTCAGTGAAAACTCTTACTCCAAACCTGTTAGTCAAACTTCCTGTTTGGGAAGTGTTGCTATATGGGAATGTGTTTTTAATATTCATCTGTAAGGTTAGATTACAAACTGGGTGACGTTTTGTGGGTTTTAAGGAAGTCTGTACAATAAGAATCTTCCTCTTATGGAAAATATGTACTTGCAGTCTTCTGTTCTTTGGTTTCCCCTAAGTGGAAAATAGTATTCTGTCTGGCTTCTTGGTTTTGAAATTTACTTTCTTAAAATATATTAAAGACACAGTAGGAGTTAGTTGCCTAACCAGGAATATATACATTCCAGGCAACTCTGTATCCAAAAAAGGAAAACCTTTCTGCAAGACAGTATGAAGTCTTTAACTTCTAATGAAATGCACTTATCTGTTATTTTCTAGTCATTATTACTAGAAACTGTTTACTCTTTCTATTGCATCACTTGTTTAGGTTCACTTTATAACCTTAAAAAGTGATAGTTTTTAGCTTATTTACTGATATGATTAACTTTGTCAGGTACAGGGTCATGATGTTCCTCTGTCCCAAGTTTGAGAATAGGAAACTGAAATGCCGATGTATTTTGTTGCCTTAGTGGCAAATGGAAATAGTATTAATTTGATTAGCCACACTTGTGTATTGTTTTAACCCAAAGAGAATAAAAACTTTCCAAATTACGTGTCCCCCCCCTTGTAAGTAGGTGGTAGTATACTCCTGTTTAGTTACTTCTTACCCATCTATTATGGAAGGATATAGTTGAAAGTAGTGTGGAATTAATATTTGATATTAGGAAATATTTTCTTTAATGAGAAGTATGAAGTTTCCCTCAAACCTGTCAAGTTTACCATGAAAGAATAATTGCTTTACAGCTGCCTTATGCTGCTTGTAAACATAAATTCTGGAACAGTCAGTAACTAATTTCTGTGCTTTTACTTAACAACTCCTTAACCTGTCAACTGCATAGTGTAGTAATTAGCCAGTTGTTTCAGCCTTGTTTTGATTAAATGTTAGAATGCTTTTAAAGTGGTTGTTCTCAATAGTGAAATAACTCTGAATATAGACACATTATAAAAAGATCTGATGCACTGGAACTCCTCTAAACTTGTGTTTCTTAAATTACTTGTAGACTTGCTGTGGTAAACTAAACATCACTTTTTGTATGTTTTCCTTTGTCTAATATTGAATACAACACAATGATATTTTAAGGTTTCTACTACAGAATCTTGATCTATGTGAGCCCCTTGTCCCCCGCACACTTTCCCTTTTTTTTTTTTAAATAGTGGTGAAATAAATGTAAGAGTAAAAGGCAGATTTAGTGGTAGGCAAGCACAGGATTTAGAAGAGTGTATATATACTCTTGTTATTGATGTATACTGTCTTATTTTCCAGTTCTTCAATCAGGTCCTCATGCTTGGTAAAACATCAATTAGTGATCTGTCAGAGCACGTGTTTGACTTGATTCTGGAGTTATACAATATCGATAGTCACCTCTTGCTGTCTGTTCTACCACAGCTTGAATTCAAACTCAAGGTAAACACTTTATATATATTTGACATGTGTGTGCTTTGACTATTAGTATGATTTTTTTTTTTCCTGATAAGTTCATAAAATTGTTTGGTATATAAAACTAC